ATCACGAACGTGTGACAGGGCCGCTATGATTTTCTCACCATTCCAGCTTTCCCAAATTACGAGCGTGGGGCAGGGCTCCGGGATTCTCACTATTTCAGCTTTCCGTACGGCGAGAAGTCCGAGGTGCCTTCGACAGCGACGACCAGGACCTCGACGAGCTCTTCAAGCTGCTGCCGGCTTCCGGTTCGCGCTGTTCGACAGCGCCAAGAAGGAAGACGTCGAGCCCGGCGCCGAGAGCGTGGCCAAATCGAGTTTCGGGAGTCACGTCAGTTACGTCGAGCCTGTCAAGGCCGCGCTGGGCGAGCTCCCCGCCGGCCTCCAGGCGTTCCGCGAGGCCCGTCGACAAGTTGCCCCAGTAGGTCAACAGGTACATCGAACGGGCCCGACAGAACCTGGCGCCCACGCCGGACAGGCGCGCGGCAGCTACCGAGGCGCTCGTCAAGTGGTGCTGGGCCATCAAGTCCGTCAGCAACGCCGAGTTCGAGCTTTCCGGGGACGCCCACCGCGCCCGGCGGGCAAGCGCAACCCATGATGCCGAGGAGGAACGTCAGGGGCAGGACATGGGCGTTCTCGAGTGTCACATCGAGAGCCGCTTCCGCAAGTGCGACGCTGGCTTGATCGAGCGCGCCGCCCTGCTCGAGCCCGACGCGGCCGAGGAGACGGCCGAGAAGAGGGGTCCTCCTCGAGCGTCTCGAGCTTAACCATGCCGGTTGCCTGCTTTCCCGAGGGTTTTCTCAGCCGATCGCCTCGAGCCACGAAAGTTTCGAGATAACCGATTTCTTCTAAGTTGCCGCGCTTCTCGAGCCATCCGACTTGCAGCCAGCCCGAGCGTCGAGACGCAGCTGACCCGAGCGTCAGGGACGCGAACGCCTCGAGCCCGCGAGCGCTCCAGCCGCCCGCTTTCGCCCGGAAGAAAGCGTCGAGTGCACCATCGTCGAGGCCTCGATCTTCGATCCTCGGATCGAAGGTCTTCGATTCATTGGCTTACGCCACGCCGCCGACCCCTTGGGGCGGCAGCGATCGTCCCCCGCGTGGCCTGTCCGGACAGCCTGTGAGGCCCCTCTAGACACGTTTTGGAGCCCTCTTAGGACCGTCTTTCCGTTCCCCCGGGCCGTTGCCATGGTTTCTGGGGCCTTCGTGGGGCGCCCGGAGGCCGTCGTGGAGCTTTTTGGAGAGTCTCGTGGGGTGCCAGAGGTCGATCTTGGAGGTTTACTGGGCCGTTGTGGGCCTCGTGAAAGTTCAAGAATCGAAAGTGCTGAACATGTACGTTTTGCCTAGGGAATGGGGCGGTTTTTGCCTCGGGAGGCCTGCTTGGAGCGCTTCGTGGTCGCGTGTGCAAGCGTCTTGGACGCCCATGGGGTTGTCTGGAGGCAATCTTGGGCGGTTTGGACCGAATCGTCCCCCGCGTGGGCCGTCCGGACAGCCTTTGGGAGCCCTCTTGGCCCGTTTTGGAGCCCTTTCGTGACCGTCCTGCGGCTTTCCTGGGCCGTCCGGGCGCCGCCTCGGAGCCTTCTTGGGAGCCTCTTCGGGTGACAGGGGTCGATCTTGGAGGTTTATTGGGCCGTTGTGGGCCTCGTGAAAGTCCAAGAAGCGAATGTGCTGAACATGTACGTCTTGCCTTGGGAATGGGACGGTTTTTGCGTCTGGGGGCCTTTTTGGAGCGCCTCGTGGTCGCGTTGTCAAACGTCTTGGACACCCATGGGGCCGTCTGGCGGCGATCTTGGGCGGTTTGGACCGAATCGTCCCCCGCGCGGGCAGTCCGGACAGCCTTTGGGGGCCCTCTTGCCCTGTTTTGGAGCCCTCTTGGGACCGTCCTGCGGCTTTTCTAAGCCGTTGCTATGGTTTCTGGGGCCTTCGTGGATCGCCCAGGCGCCGCCTTGGGGCCTTTTTGGGAGCTTCTTGGGCTGGCGAGGGTCGATCTTGGAGGCTTCTTGGGCCGTTTTGCGCCGCGTGGAAGCCGACTGGGCGAATGTGGTGAAAATGTGCGTTTTCCCTATGGAATGGGACGATTTTTGCTATTGGAGGGCCTCTGGGGCGCCTCCTAATGTTGTTTCAAACTGATGCAGCCGTGTGGAGGCAATCTTCGGCGTTTTGGGGCGATCCTTCGTCGATTCGTAGCTCTCTTGGACCGTTCTGGGAGCCTTTGGAACCTTTTTGGCTCGTTTTGGGGCCTCCTGAGGCCCCCCCCCCTCAGACTGGCCGGACCAGGTCACCGGGGGAGGGGTTTGGGGAGGGGGAAGCATCTCACACGCCGTGACCCCAAGGGGTCGGCGGATCTTGGATCCGAGAATCTTCGGGCGTCTTGGGTCCTAGATTCCCTAGATCCGAAGGCCTTGGGTCTTCGATCCGGGGGTCGAGGATCGAGCCTCGACGGTCGTCGATCGTCGTTGTCGTCGTCGCCGTCGTCGGGCCTGTGCCGCGATGCGCGCGGTGCGACCATCGAGTGCGCCATCGTCGAGGCTCGATCCTCGACCTCTTGAGGGCCTCTTGAGGGCCTCGTGGCTCTCGGGGCTTGTAGCTCGAAGTGTCGGTTCGCGTTCCCCGTTTGGGCATGCTTTTGGGGCTGGCTTGGGGGCCTCTTGGGCCATCTAGGAGGCCTTCGGGGCTGTCTTGGGGCGGTCTGGGGCCGTTTTGGGGCGCTCTTGGTGGCCTCTTGGGCCATGTTGGGGCGATCTTGGGGGCCTCCTGGGCCGTCATGAGGAGCTGGTAAATCGAAAAAACGAGAACGCCACAATCCTTCAAAAATGTACAGGGAATCACTAATTTGTGCCTTTTGGGGGCCCTCTTGGGAGGTCTTCTTGGGGCGTCTTGCAGGCTTCTTGGGCTGTCTGGAGGACATCTTGGGGTGTTGGACTGGTCGCTCGGTGACTCGGAGCCCTCTTGGGCCGTCCTGGGGGCCTCTTGGGGCTTTCTTGGCGCGCTCTGGGGGGCCCGAGAGGTCGCGCCCAGGAAGAAAACCCTCTCTGAGTAAAGGGTGGCTTGGGGTCAGCCAGGGTATCTTGACCCGGGGAACTTCAGGGGCGACCCCGTGCGCGCGAACTAGAAAATTTCAGCACTAGTTACTGGAGATCTTAGCACGCCTCCGGCCCGTTGGGCTGGCGAATATACTGCCATTTGCTACATCTGACATGCCTACCACATTTTTTGTTTGTTTGGGTTTCCGACCGCCCAAGATCGCCCAAGAGGCCTTTCTGGGCCGTCTTGTTGCCCTCTTGGAGCGGTTCACGGCCGTCTTGGGCCCTCTTCGGCAGACCCTTGGGCGATCAGTGGGTCCTTTTGAGCCGACCTGGGGTCCCTTTTGGGGCCTCTTGGGCTGTCTTGGGGCTATCTTCGAGGCCTCTGGGAAGCCTCTTGGGCCGTCCTGGGTGGTCGGAAACCCGAACAGGCGAGAACCCCAACATTTCCCCCAACCCATGGGAATCAATGGTTTTGGCCCCCTCGGGCTCTCCAGGAAGTCCTCTTGGAGCTCTCTCTGGCCGTTCTGAGGCCTCTTGGGCCGTCATGGGGCCCTCTTGGGCTATCTTTGGCCGTCTTGAGGCTCTCTTGACAGGCTCTTGAGTTGTCTTTGGCCATGTTGAGCCATTTTGTTGTCGTGTTTGCCTTCCTGGGGGCCGTTTTGGAGGTCAACTTGGCCGTCTGCAGGCCGGAGATAGCGGGCGCCGGGGGGCGATTTCAGGGGTGGCGGTCGACGCGAGCGCATGCGAACCAGGGGGTGGCGGGTTTGGTGCAATGTATGCGGCGCAGGTTAATGCGGTGTAGTATAGGTCGTGCAATATGTATGGCGTGCAATTTATTGGGTGCACTCTTATGTTGTGCAATGAATGTGGTGTGCAATCTGTGCGGTGCAATCTATGTGGTGCAAACAAGCACTTGCCGAACTTGAAGTTGACAACTCCACTGCTCGCGCAATCATCCCACCCACCCACCCGCAACTTGGTTTGCAAAACCCATGCGGGACCGAGCACAGATATCGCTCTGGGATCGTCTTGGAGCCCTGGGGGGCGTCTCAACAGCGCCCCAAGAAGGTCGGAGAAGCAAGACGGCCGACGACGACGACGACGGCGACGACGACGACGCCGACGTCGACGACGACGAAGACGACGACGCCGACGCCGACAACGACGACGAAGACGACGACGACGTCGCCAACGAAGACGACGACGAGGGAGGAGGGAGGACGACGACGGCGACAACGACGACAGCGACGACAACGACGACAACGAGGGAGGAGGGAGGACGGCGACGGCGCGAACGACGAAGAAGGAGGAAGGACGGCGACGTCGACGACGACAACGACGAGGGAGGAGGGAAGACGACGACGAGACGACGACGACAACGACGACGACGACGGCGACGAAATAGGAGGGACGACGACGAGACGCCGACGACGGACGACGACGACGACGACGACGAGGAGGAGGAGGAAGGACGACCACGGCGACAACGACGACGGAAACAACCACGACGCCAAAGAGGACGACGACGACGAACACGAGGAAAGACACAGGACGACGTAGGCGACGACGACGACGACGCGGGAGGAGGGAGGACGGCGACGACGAAGACGACGACGACGACGCCGCAAGAGCGCGCGCGCACGCTTTTGTTGAAAATCCGTGTTGCGAAACCTTGTTCTTGTTTGTTTTTTTGAACGCGCGATTTTGAAATCATTCCGAAACCGATGGGTTTTGAAGGATTTCGGCGTACGCGCGCGACGACGCGCGCGTCTGCACTTCGTCTTATGTTTTGCAGAGGATTCTCGCGACGGCACACGCGCAAGGGCGTTCGAGAGATTTCGACATGCGCGCGCGCGGCGCCCGTTTGGTGGCATGTTGTGAAAATCTTGAACATCTAAGGGTTTCTTAAGATTTCGCAAGAGCTCGCGCGTAAGCTTTTTTAGCACATCAGTGTTACGAAACCTTGTGTTTTTGTATGTTTTTTTTGGAAACTCGATTGCGAAATCCTTCCAGCACCGACGGTTTTGAAGGATTTCGGCATGCGCGCGACGACGCGCGCGTGTGCGGTTCGTCCCATTTTGCAAGGGATTCGTGAACAAGTGTTAATGTTAGAACAAAACATATTACCGCATAGTGTTTTTTACAAGGGAACCTCAGGGGGGGATACCGGTTGGCCTGGGACATTGTGATTTCATATTTAGGATGGACATGTGGTCAGAGTCATATGTGATTTGCATACCCGAAAGGGGGGGCGATAACTCCGGGGGGGGGTCGAGTTTATTATTCTCTTTTTTAGAAAGGAGGATTTACTTTGACTGTAAGGCGGTCCTCTCCACTGCTCGTGCAAACATCCCACCCTCCCACCCGCAACTTGGTCGCAAGACCTGTGAAGACCGTGACGGTAGGTACCAACTGGCACTTGGCAAAGACACCGACGCCGACGACGGCAGAGACGACGACGACGCCGCCGACAGCAACTACGACGACAGCGACGGCGTCTCCAACGACTTCGACGACGACGACAACGACGACGACGACACCGACGACGACGTCGCCGACGACGACGATGACAACGCCGATGACGACGCCGACGACGACGACGCCGACGACGACGACGCCGATGACGACGACGCCGAAGACGACGACGAAGACGACGACGACGCGGGAAGAGGGGGGACGACGACGGCGACAACGACAGGGAGGGGGGAGGAAGGAGGACGGCGACGACATTAGCGACGAAAAGCGAGGGAGGACGGCGACGCCGACGACGACAACGACGAGGGAGGAGGGAAGACGACGACGACGACGACGACGGCGACGAAATAGGAGGGACGACGACGAGACGCCGACGACGGACGACGACGGCGACGACGCGGGAGGAGGAAGGACGACCACGGCGACAACGACGACTGAAACGACGACGACGACGCCAAAGAGGACGACGACGACGACGAGGAGCGACAGAGGACGACGACGGCGACGACGACGGCGACGACGACGGCGACGACGACGACGACGACGACGACGAGGGAGGATGGACGGCGACGACGACGACGCAAGAGCGCGTGCGCACGTTTTTGTTGAACATACGTGTTGCGAAACCTTGTGTTTTGGTATGTTTTTTGGACACTCGATTTTGAAATCTCTCCACAACCGAAGGTTTTCGAAGGATTTCGGCATGTGTGCGTGACGACGCGCGACTTCGTTTCATTTTTTGCAGAGGGTTCTCGCGACCGCACGCGCGCAAGGGCGTTCGAACGATTTCGACATGCGCGAGCGCGAAGCCCGTTTGGTAGCATCTCTTGAAATTCTTGAGAAACCGACTGGTCTCTTAAGATTTCGCAAAAGCGCGCGTAAGGTTTTGTACAGGATCAGTGTTGCGAAACCTGGTATGGTTTGTATTTTTTTGAAACTCAATTTGGACATCCTTCCGGTACCGACGTTTTTTGAATGATTTTGGCATGCACGCGCCGCGACGCGCGCGTGTGCACTTCGCTTTTTTTGGCAAGTGATTCTTGACAACCTATGTTTTTTGATAGACGAGTGCGCGCGCATAGTATTTGTTGTTGGGGGGGGGGGGGGGGGCGATGCTGGTTTGGCTGGGGTAGTATGAATTCACAGGTAAGGTGGACATTCGCCCAGCATCCTATGTGTTTTGCATCGGTTCCCGGGGGGTCTTTAACCCCGGGAGGGGGGGAGGGTGGTAGAACCTACCTTCTTGTTAGAAGGGAGACTTGACCACGCTACGCCCCGCGTGACCACGTCCCATGCTCGAGCAAACGTCCCACCCTCCCACCCGTCGCGACTGTAGTTGCGGCGTGGGGCTGTCAGCAGATTTCATCGAGCTCGTTGGCACGCGGGCCATCGTGGCGCGGGCAAGGTTCATCTTGCTGGAGAGAGCGCGGACGACAGCGTCGACAAACGACAATGAGGTGGTGGGCAGAACTCACAGTGTAGCGAGTACAGTTGCAGCGCGGAGCTTTTCCGATCATGTCATCGTTTTCAATGTCGCGCGGACGCTCGTCGCGCGGGCGAAGTCCATCTTGCGGGAGACAGTGCGGACGACGGCGTCGACAAACGACGATGAGAATGATCGCTACGCTTCCGACGGCAATGATGACGATGACGGTGTTTCGCATGGTATTCTTAGACAGGGATCATGCCTGTGGCAAGCGCGCGAGGGCTTTGTAATAAGTTCGACGTACGCGCGCGAAGACCTCCTTGGACAAGAAAGTTGGCCCCAAAAAGTATAGGGTTTCCTGGGGATTCGCGAGGGCGTGCGGGATGACATGTTGAACACAGGGTATTTTTGTTGGAAACATTATTATTATTATTCTTATTATTATTATTATTATAATAATTTGGCAGTCGTGTTTTCCGGCTGAAATCGCCGCGGGAACATATTTTTGAAGGATTTCGTCTTGCGCGCGCGCATGTGGCCCGTGTTGTATTATTGCATAGGGTATCGTGCACTCAGCTCATCTGAAATCAACGCAAGCGCATTGCGTTGTATTCTATGTCAGGGATGAGGGGGGACCCGATACCGGGACAAACTGGGATGGTGTGAGCTCATATGGGACATGAACAAGGAGACGGCCTCATATGTAAATTGCAGCGCGGCAAGAGGGGAGTGGTAATCCCGGGGTCGTGGTGGGGGTAGATTCGATTTCCTTTTTTTTTCAGGGATGTTAAAAAATGGTACAATCTACGCAGTGCAAAATATGCAGTGCAATCTATGTGATGCAGTGTTTGTGTTGTAGTGTACGCATTGCAATATTCGCGGTGCAATTTATGTGGTGCAATATGTGCGGTGCAATGTTTGCATTGGTGTGTATATATATATATGATTATACATAATTAACTACAACTTAAATACACATTGGGCGTATGTGGTGCAGCCAGTCTGGTGTAATCGATGTGGTGCAGCGTCAGTGGTGCAGTTTATGCGATTTACGCGATGCAATTATTTTGCAACCGATTGGATTGCAATCGTTTGGATTGCGTGGTGGGTGGGTGGAAGTTGCAGCGGGGCGGCGACGAGGCGGCGACGGGGCGGCGACGGCGGCAACACGGCGGCGGATCCGACGAACGAGCCTAGACGATGGGCGCCGACGGGGCGACGACGGGGCGGCGACGGCGGCAACAAGGCGGCAGATCCGACAAGCGAACCCAAACGACGGGCGGCGACAAGGCGGCGACGGGGCGGCGACGGCGGCAACAGTGTGGCGGTCCTTGCAAACAAGCCCAGATGTTGAGAAAACAAGTGAGCACCCAAACGTGCAAACACTGTTGTGGGAATGGGAACTGAGAGTACATCCGTCATCACAGTGATGGTGATCATGATAACAAATAATCATATATATACACATATATATAACAATAATAGTAATATTGTGCTAGTAATATGAGTAATGATCGTCATGGTATTATTAGAACTAATTGTTGAAGTAAGAGTAACAATGCCAATCATTATGGTAATACGAATGCCAATTTTTATATTCAACATGTGGACATACCAATATAATTAATAGTACAAATAAGTAATGATAACACACATACAATCACAATCGTAATGCTATGAAGAAGAATAAGGAGGATAAGGAGCACGAGCCTTCGAGTACGACTGGGAGGTGGACGGACGAGGGACGAGGAGTAGGAGGAGTAGTAGTCGGAGGACGGCGGCGAAACTGTCCTGGGGAGGGCGCGGCTCCTTCCCACCAAGAGGCTGACGCAGGCCGACCAGAGGGCCGAAGCCGCCGCCGACCAGGTCCGGATGGCCACCGCGAGGCGCACCCCTCTCCCCAGAGCTGGTATCGTCTGCGTCGGCGTCATCGTTGCCGTCGTCGCCGCGATCGTCGTTTCATGAGGATGGGATGGGGCTGGGGGCGAGGAGGGGAGCGGGGTGATGCCGATGACGCCCATGGGCCCATGAGCCGCTGATGACGATGCTCATGAGGCTGATGATGCTGATTGTGATGATGATGGTGATGCCGACGGTGACGGTGATGGTGATGGTGAGAAAGGTAATGATGATGCTGATGATGATGTTGATGATGATGACGATGATGATGGTGATGATGTGCTGCTGATGCTGGTGGTGATGATGATGCTGATGCTGATGCTGATGATGATGGTGTTGGTGGTGGTGGTAGTGGTGGCGGCGGTGATGACGATGATGAGGATGATGATGGTGGTGGTGGCGGCGGTGATGATGATGGCGGGGGTGATGATGATGCTGGTGATGATATGATAATGATGCAGATGTTGATGATGATGATGCTGATGATACTGATACTGATGATGATAATGCTGATGCTGATGCTGATGCTGATGCTGATGCTGATGATGATGTTGATGATGATGATAGTGGCGATCGTGCGGGAGACGGTTATGCTGGGGATGCCGATGGTTGAAGAGCATGGTCGATGGAGTAGGCTGATCTCGAGGAATAGGATTGTGATCATGAGGATGGGAAGAAGGAGGAGTATTCATAGAGGTGCGTATGACTATCATGAGCGTGGGAAACATATTTCAGGATGAAAACTAAACTGATGATGCGGACGGTGGCGATGGCAATGGCGCTGATGATGAGAATGATGTTGATGACCATCACGATGACGATGATGATGATGATCATGGTGATGATGATGATTCTAATGAAAATGATGATGCTGATGCTGCTGATGATGCTGATGACGATGATGCTGATGATGACGATGATGATGCTGATGACTATGGCGATGATGATGATGACGATGATGCTCAGGATGCAGTTGATGATGACGATGATGTGGATGCTGATGTATGATGCCCGTGATGATCATGCTGATGCTGATGCTGATGCTGATGCTGACGACGACGAACATGATGATGCTGATGCTGATGATGCTGCTGATGATGATGCTGATGCTGATGATGATGATGCTGCTGATGATGTTGATCATGAAGCTGATGATGATTACGGTGATGCCGATGATTCAGATGATCATGCTTAGCATGATGTTGATGAGGGTGGTGGTGGCGATGATCATGATGATGACGATGCTGATGGTGGTGATGGTGATGTTTGTGATTATGATGATGATTTTGATGGTGATCGTTACGATTATGGCGTTGATGATGATGATGATGATGATGATGATGATGATGATGGTGACGATGATGCTGCTGATGTGGATAATGCTGATGTTGATGACGATTGCGAAGATGATGATGATGATGATGATGATGATGATGATGATGATGATGATGATCATCATGATGATGATGATGATGATGATGATGATGATGATGCTGATGATGATGATGATGATGATGATGATGATGCGGATGCTGATGATGACGACGACGATCATTGTGATGAAGACGAGGAGAAGGAAGAGGAGGATAATGATGATGAGGATTATGATGGTGATTCTAATGCTGGTGATGATGATGATGATGATGATGATGATGATGATGATGATGTCAATGATGATGATGATGATGATGATGATGATGATGATGATTATGATTATTATTATCATCATTCTTATTCTTATTATTTTTATCTTGCTTGTGAGGCAGTGCATGCGTGACGTGTGTATACGCACCACTCGCCGCCACTCGCCGCCGTTTGACCTCTAGGGGCCCCTTTCTGCCATTGCGCTAAAACGCATCATAATCACATTGGTAGCGGAGCTACCACACGATCCCCGTATCGTACCACTGCGCGCACGTCTCGCCAGAGAGTGTCGCACAACCTCTCTTTACTTTCTGTACTGGCAGTTTCCCTCGCTAGGGGACTGAACTTTGCGCCATGGTACTTTCTTCTCTTCGCTATCGGCCGAGCGCCGACGCGCTGACGCGGTCCGAAACGAAGAGTGACTCCTACATCTACGACGGCGCGGTGACTAACTTCCACGAGTGGGAAGTCCGCGCAGAGATGCGCATGAGTGCCGCCTTGGCCTCAGTGGATCCAGAAACGGGTGCGCCACAGCAACGCGCGATCACCGCAGCTGTCAACAAGGTTGTAAAAGGCCTCAGAGGTGACGCATTCGATATTGCCATGGATATCGGTAAGGACGTGCTTCTGACTCCGAATGGGATCGAGCAGCTGGTGCTGGCGATCCGTACTTCACTCTTCCCCATAGAGGCGCCGGAAGCGAAGATCCTGTTCCAGGTGGGGCAGAGACCATATGGACCACTGTCACGACAGCACGGTGAGTCTATAGTTTCGTGCATCTTCCGAAGGAAGCGTTGGTGGAAACTTGTCTCCAAGTTAGACCCTGAGATCGTGATGAGGGACGATCTGCTTGGATCCCTTCTCTTGGACCATGCAGGCCTCTCGCCTTCGGAGAACCTGATGGTAGTGACATCCACGGGAATTGTGACAATCTTCGACCATATCAAGGATGTCTGGATTTTCCAGCGCGACCGTATACACATTTGCCAAACAGGCAAGGGTGAGTCTGGTAAAGGCTCCAGCTCTTCGGCGCGGACGCAGCCCAGACCCAGCTTTCAGAACAGGAGCAGGGGCAAGGGCAAAGTGCGCTTCTCCAGGCCGCAACGCGCCTTCTGCACTGCTGATGAAGGATGGTACGAGCAGGAGGGGCATTGCCCTGGGCAGCTGAGTCCCTACGGATATTACGCGTCCAGCTACGCGCCAGAGCGCGGCTGGGGCGACGCGGCCTGGGGCGACTACGCCGACGAACGCACCTGCGTTGACGAGGAATCGTATGTTCGCTGGGCTCCTGCCCAGGATAGCAGCGAGCTCGGCGTCGAGGTGGTCGACGAGATGGTCAAGGCTGGATATGCAGAGGAAGAAGCCCCTGGCGCGATCCAAGAGGGCCTGGTAGCCGACCTTGGCACCAAGGGGAGGAGCCAAGGCAAGGGAAATAGCGGGGGCGAGAGTTCCAACTGCGCGCCCTGGTCGCCCAAGGGAGGCGGCAGGGGGGGGCCTTCCCTGGAAGATCGCAACAAGCGGCTCCAGGATAGCAAGAAACGCTCGAAATGCAAGACCTGCCGCGACGCAGGCCGCTGGTCCGGGGGCCCCGAATGCAAGGGCAAACCCAGGGCGGCAATGGTGTCGCGCGCTGGAGACACTGGCGATCGCCATTTCCAGTTGCGCGAGGGCGACGACGAACAAAAGTTCACATCCGTCCGTTCTGTTGCTGCGCCGCCATCAATTCCTCATCGTATCATTAGTAGCAAGGGGGAGTCCAGTGTTTCTCGTATCTGCTCTTCTATTTCTCTTCGCATCACGTGTCGCAGGGCATGTGTGTATGAGGGGGTGAATTGTGACGGGCGGTGTAGCTTGCGGCGCAGCCGCGCCGGGCGTCATGCCCGTGCGAGTTGCGCGGGGATGACCGAAGCCTCTCCGGTTCAGGGGCTTCCGGAGCTTCAGAGGAAGAGTCGTCAGACCTCTACGGAGGCCGAGGGGGATGCTCTAAGGTTCATGGTTGTTCGCTCGGCCGAATCTTACTCTATGGCCGGCGTTTCTGATGGGGAGTTTGAGGGGGGGGGGGGGGGGGATCTGTTTCGGATCTTATATCTGTTCCTGGT